TGGTGTGAGTGACTCCCTTTGTTGTGGGGATGCATGCAAATTCGTGTGGAGTGTTTGGAGAGAAGCGCATTTTGTTGATAACATTAATGGTTTCCTTCAGATGTCTTGTGTCACACTGGAGCTGTCTCTCAGCTACATTTCCCCTAAGCAGCTGGGAATGTGATAGAACAAGGAAATTACTCATCTAAGAGGAACTTGCTGGCTTGTTTTCTAACTATTCTGGTCCCAGCATTCTGGCAGGGTTGTTATCCCCTCACAAACAAAAAAGAAAAAAGAAAGAAAGAAAAGAAAGAGGCCGTGTTTATTCTACTTCCCTTTTGAGCCTTGAATGAAGCTAATGTTTTCTTTGGAGGGCTGTTGGGGCGTAAATAGAAGCTTTTTCTAAATAAATTCCAGCCTGATTTTTGATTTTCAAATAAAAGCAGTGACAATATGGGAAATTCACCCCAAGTTACAGCGTGCACGTGCAGTCTTAATAGTGTTTTAAGAACTTAAAGATGACCAATTACTCCTAATGTCTCAGGTGCTTATTCGATTACATGAAAGCTAATGATATTATAGAAGCAGTACGTACAGCGGCATTGAATGCTGTATGTTTTCTTGCAGTGGTAGGACCTGTGGAGGAGGCCCGTGCAAGGTGTTGCTCTTGTGTCTCAATAGGAGCAAATGACTTTGTGTTGACAGTGTTCAGAAAACGGCAGGTAGGTTTTTTTTTCTTTTCACGTGTGCCACGTCAGCATTAACGCCTTTCATCAAGGCAGTCCGTCATCTTTTAGAATTCTTTGTGTTCAAAATGAGATGTTTACCTGGTGGGGTGTGCCATATCAAGTGCAGCATAATGAGGAACTGTTGTTCGAGGGCTATTTGAAGTAGTGTATACTTTATCCGGAACGTAGTGCGTTTTGACAGCTAATATGCACCAGAGGTAAAGTGTGATTTGCGATTCTCACGTCTTACAAATCTCCCTTGGAACTACCGACTCGGGATTTGTGCTCTGTTTAGGACGGTGGTTATTAACCTGGGTTCGATCGAACCCTAGGGGTTCGGTGAGTCGGTCTCAGGGGTTCGGCAGAGCCTCCACCGTGACATGCACGGCTCATTTTGTGCACCAATATCCCATATCTATGTCTTGAATTTGAAAAAAATCATATTTTATTTTTCACTAAAGAGGGGTTCAGTGAATGCGCATATGAAACTGGTGGGATTCGGTACCTCCAACAAGGTTAAGAACCACTGGTTTGCAAAAGCAGTTCAAAAAAAGGGGCAATATCAGAAATATATAAATTGATTAGGTCCAAAACATCTGACAATTCGTTGGGAAGGTTGAACGCCTGGAAAAATGATTTAAAGAAGGACATATCCATGGAACAATGGGCATTGGTCTGCGCAAAAGCTCATAAACAAACTATTAATTCTAGACTAAGGTTGTTGCAATACAAATGGTTAATGCGAATATATGTTACTCCGGAAAAATTAAATAAGTACAACTCTAATATTCCAGACACTTGTAATAAATGTAATGAAGATAAGGGTAACTTTTGGCATTGTATTTGGGATTGCAGGAAGATTGGCTCCTTTTGGGTTGCGGTAACACAAACTATGAAACAAATATTATCCAAGGAGGTTGTTTTGGATCCTGGCTTCCTTATTCTGGGATTGTACCCAGAAAACATGAGGTACACAAAAAGTGACAGAATGTTTATTGATATGGGTTTGTTACAAGCAAAAAGATTAATTGCACTAAAATGGAAAAAAACAAGGGAACCGAGTATCACACAGTGGATAAAACAAATGATGGTGGCTTTGCCATTGGAGCGGATAACATGTATACTGAAAAGGAAATTGGATGTTTTTGAGAACGTGTGGAGACCATTTGTGAATTTTGTAGAAGGATTTGTATTATCTGAGGAGGACGAGGACTGAGGGCAATGACATTTGATTTGGGATAATGACAAATTTAGGCCTTTAATGGAGTGATAAATCTGACGACTTTTTTGTTTTCTTTTTGCTGTCTGAGAGGAGTGTATGTTCATGTAGTATTTAGAAGGTTGGACTGTTCGTAAGTCATTAAAATGTAAAAAATAATAAAGATATTGTTGGGAAAAGAACCACTGGTTTAGGATCTTAAAAATAAAACCGGCTGCACTCTTTCACAGGTCTTGCCAGCAGCCTTTCCATTCTGCTTCATCAGACACAGGCGGACGTGCATCACCATCATTGTCGTCACCAGGAAAGATGTTCTTTGTGGCAGGGGCCAGAAATACAGCAGGATCGGGAAGAGGAAATGAAAGGAGGTAACAGATTCTCATCATTTCAGGCTTGAAAAAGAATGAAATGTCAAGAGGACTTTGATTGCCAAAAGTATTTCAGCTACAGCTTTAAAAAAAACTTAACTCCTTCTCATTTTCCATCATCAGGACAATTTACCAGAAATTTCGAGAGGTAGATATATTGGACAAGAAGAAGACGGTGACCGCTCTGAAGCCCGGAGAAGATCGGGCCATTCTTCTGGGACTTGGGATGATCCTCTCTTCAGTCATGATGTACTTTGTCCTGGGTATCACCATATTGCGGTCCTATGCAGACAGGTACAGGCCTGCTAGTGTTTGGAGGAGGCGGCTCTGATATTTCTTTCAGAAACATGTTTTATTCATCAGATGTGCTTGTTGGCAAACTGTTTCTTTGCTCGTTCAAGCGAGAAAAATGCAAAAATGAATACTTTATGAAACCAGATCTCCAGGAGCAGATTACACTTTCCAAACTGAGCTCGTTTCACGGCATAACATCCCGAATGCTGTCTTTCTTTCCTCTTCTTCTTTTTTGTTGTCGTAATAAATTGGATCTTCCTTTAAATGTCAACACAGCGTGTGGACGGAGGAGGGTGTGTGTATTGTTCTCAACTCCACGGTCACAGCAGACGTGAACTGTTCCTACAGCTGTGGGTCAGACTGCTGGAGGATATCCAGATACCCTTGCCTGCAGGTCTATGTGAGCGTCAATAACACAGGCCGTGTCAGCCGTTTATCTCACAATGAAGAGACCCATGATGCCAGCTCTGAAGTGAGTACGGTGCCAGAGAGAAAATACTGGGAATTACTGAACTGTTTCAAATGTTGACAATGGCTGTCAGATGTTGGCCTGGCGATAGATGCCCAATTCAGAAATGTCAGATAGCGTGTTGTGAAATAAAACAAAAGTAGCTCTGAGTGCCAAAAAACAAAAAAGTATGACTGGCTGATTGCCCTCTGGATGACCTCTGTGTCCCTCACTCCTGTCCTTGCAGTGTTTCTATGTGCCCAGGTGTCAGAAGGACAGCACAGCCATGCACGCCATGATTTTGAACATTTCCGAGCGACTGAAGGCGAACCAGCAGGTCCCGTGTTACTACGACCCCAGCGAGCAGCAGGAGATGACTCTCTTGATTCGCCTGTACGACCACAGCACCGTCTTCCACTCCCTGCTCTGGCCGTCTTGCACGCTCACAGGAGGGGCCCTAATCATCATGATGGTGAAGCTAACACAGTACCTCTCCAGACTGTGTGAAGAGATAGGGAAGCTCAAGACGTGAAAAAAATCAAAATAAACCAAGAAATTGATGGTTTTGTGAGGAACACACGACATAAAGGAATTGCTGGGAACCAAATGAATGTTTTGTTGCATCTCGCAAACCGTTCTCTTCAGCTGAGACATTCAGAGCAGCTGATTTTCACCTCAGAGCAAGTGTATAAATGTGAACGAACTGTCAGCTGTATAAAGATCTGAGCGTAGATGTGAAGATGTTAAAGCATGGTAAAAATGTCTGAGAGTACTTGTTTACAAGTGTTACATACCCGACGAAAACGAATCAATATTTGAACCGATGGAGAAAAACATCACTGTCTGAGCAGAAGTGTCTGTGGCTGATGATGTTGAACAATGTGACAATGCTAGGAAAGCATTCTGATAAACATGTGCTGCTTCTTCTTTTGTTCATCAGTTGTCCAGTTTCTTCAGGTTTTTTAAGGCTACACTCCACAGCATGCCATGATATGTGAAGTTTTCAGCTAATAGTTTTTTTGTTGGTTTTATTGTTTTATGCCTGTCAAACTGTGTTTGGCAGTTAAAGAAATGGGAGCAAATTATGTGTTTTTGTGACAGACTGCTAGTAACAACATGACAGCGCTGCCAGGTTGTCTGTCCTGTGGTGAATGATTCATAGATGTTATGTGGCTTAACAAACAAAGAGAACATTGTTTTGAAAATGTTCATGTACAAGGACTGGACTGAAAATGCGTGAAAAATCAGAGACATCGTGACACAGTGTACATGTGCACTGACTCAGCCTACCACACTAAATAAATTGATTTTGTATTCCAGGATCACAATTTTTATTGACTACATCTCTATAACAATGTTCTATTTGAAATCAGCATTACATCTTACATTGTGGTAGTTCGCTGGCTGTGTCTGGCTTGTAACTGTAACAAATGATCAATCCCTCAGCATTTCCTTAAGGTAGAAAACAAATACAGATGCACCTCTGCTAAATGTTCACAGCTTTTTTATAATGAAAGAGAACCTGATTTTTAAAACCTGCATCACAAACACAGGCAGCTGCCTGACTGCATATCCATATGCTTGAATATGGCTTCTTCAATTATCAATTTTTCAAAGTTTTAAGCTGCTCACACTCTAATCACTCAGTAATGTTGACCATTTAATCTATTCCTTTGCTTATTGAATATAGACTGTTTGTTTTACAGATACTCGAGAAATGTGTGGAAATATAACGCCCTGGGTGTACATATATAATTAAATAAAAATAGTGCTGCAATCGTATTTTGTAGGCTTGTTCACTTCACGTTTCTATAAAGGGTTTGGACTCTGCATGTGCAATCGGATAGCTTTTCTTTGGAGACATTTCATTTCAAGAAAACAGCGAGCAGGCAGTTTCCCGTGAATTCCCCAGTCTTATCTCATGACAAACTCCTCCACCAGCTCGGTCAGTGTGGGAAGGCGGTCCGAGACGATGAGCCTGCTAGCAGCCCTCGAACAGGCTAGCTGTGTGGAGCTAGCGTGTTACCAAGCAGTGCAGTATATTTTCGGGACGGCACGATGACGAACAACAAGAAGTGTTATAGACTTACTCCACTACAGAATATTGACAACCTCGGTGGGAGCTAGGGACGTGTTTCCTTCTGAAAAGCGGCACTGTCCCGACCGCCCCGTGTCACTCTTCGGATGGACTAAAGTAGCGCGGCTGCTTGGGAGTTCTCGAGCGGATGGGATTTACTCAGCTAGCCGCGGCTAATGATTGAGCAGTCCGACTAGCTTTACGGCTAACCGGTTGCCGTTAGCTGACACAGGTAAACCTAACATGTTAATTTTGTTGTTGTTTTGTTTTTTGGAGTGTGTTTGGTTTTGCTGTTGATCGATAAAGCTATCCAGTTACTCACACAACACTATTCACTCTTACCCTTTAATTACATTAGGGCCAGCGTGAAAATAGCGTGTGCATGAGGAGAGGTCTTCATACTGTATATGACATTGATCTTCTTGGTGAACTTGGCTAGCGTGGCTAGCTAGCTCGTCAAAGAAAAATTGTCTAAAGTTAAACCACCAGACAGCAGTACACATCCAACCAGTCAATGTGTATGTCAAGCTCAAGGCTTAGCTTTGTTAGCCGTGATAAACCAATATACGGGGGAATTTGCTAGCTAACAAGTTTGTTTACATGATTCTCAAAGACCTTTTGAGTCCACAGCCCTGCATCAGTTCATTTCTGTCCACTTTAACTTGAGCTAATTCAACACCAGCTGACACATGTGGTCGATTTTGCGCATCTGATGAGTTGACAATTTTTGTTATCATTGGATTAGTTTGTAACGTCAAGTTGTTGGCATATGTTGTGCTGCCGCTCTTGTGCTAACCGAGCCAAAGAAACATCTGTCATATAAGTAGCACACAAATACTAAAGAGTGACACTACAGGTATTCTACAATTATTTTTATTCGCAATTCTTCTAAAATTCTTCATAATCAGTTAAAGTTTGATGTTTCCAACTCCCTTGGATATAGTTACATTTTTGTATATCCTGTCACTGAGAAGCAGCTGCCATAACTGTAGTGAAATATTTACCACAGGCGTTTTGCATTTGTGTATACTGCTCAGAGCTTCTTATATAATTCTGCTTCTTTCTGTTTCTCAGTTGGTCAAAATTGCTCATCTGGTAATTACTGGGCTCAGAATAGAGAGGATCTGCTGGCGAAGCCATGGCTCCCAGACCATCATCGGGAGAACTATGGGGGATGCACTTGATGCCCCCCAGCATCCTAGTGGACTGCCTTCTGCCAAATGGCATGATTCTCACGTTGGAGTGCCTCCGGGAGGCCACACTTACTACAGTCAAGCATGAGCTTTTCAAAGAGGCCAGGAAGTACCCTCTCTACCATCTGCTGCAGGAGGAGAGCTCCTACATCTTTGTCAGTGTCACCCAGGAAGCAGAGCGGGAAGAGTTTTATGATGAGACCAGGAGGTTATGTGATCTTAGGCTTTTCCAGGCCTTCCTCAAGGTTATTGAGCCAGTAGGCAACAGAGAAGAGAAGATTCTCAACAGAGAGATAGGTACAGTTCCTGACTTACTGTGCAGTTAAAAACAGCCCGTATTTATTTGGTTATACTGTGTGTTATATACACTGTATTGTGTTGTCGTTGGCTCTCCTTTTTAATACATAATAACAAAAGGCAATTGCTTTTTTTTCCTTTCAGGTTTTGCTATTGGTATGCCTATATGTGAGTTTGATTTGGTGAAAGACCCTGAGGTGCAGGACTTCAGAAGGAACATTTTAAATGTTTGCAAAGAAGCCGTGGACCTCAGAGACAGCAACGGACCCCACAGCAGAGCATTGTACGTCTACCCTCCCAATGTTGAATCCTCAGCAGAGCTTCCCAGGCACATCTATAGCAAGCTAGACAAAGGTGAGGCATTTTACGCCGAGGTGGGCAGCAACCCTCACTGTGCTGGAACTGTTTTGCCCATGCTTTTACCCTCTGTTTCATCTGTTACTTTATTTCCCTCAGGTCAAATCATTGTGGTCATTTGGGTCATTGTTTCGCCCACCAATGACAAACAGAAGTACACCCTGAAGATCAATCATGATTATGTACCAGAGCAAGTGATTGCAGAAGCCATTCGGAAGAAGACGCGCAGCATGCTGCTCTCCCAGGAGCAGTTAAAGATGTGTGTGCAGGAGTATCAGGGAAAGTACATCCTCAAAGTCTGCGGCTGTGATGAGTACTTACTGGAGAAATACCCTCTGAGTCAGTACAAGGTAATCTAATTAAATCTTAGCTTAGCTGCAGCTGATTCTATTGTACTTAGAGGGGGAGAGACAGATCCACCTCACATCAAATTATCATCCAACACAAATGTGTTCGACACTTAGGGCATGAAATTAAATTTCTGAGGAAATGTTCGGCCAGTCAAGTGTGCACGTTCGAGAAAAGCCCCACACACATCACACAAGTACAAAGTGCTGAGTGCGTCAGTTATTGCTGAGCTGCAATTATAAATTCTTGGAATTTACATTTTGATAGGCCCAGATGTGTACGAATGGCTTCAAAATGTCAAAATGTCACAATCGCATCTACTTCAAAAAGTCACTTTTATCTGTCCTCAACAGTATGTGCGCAGCTGTATCATGCTGGGAAGAATGCCTAACCTGATGCTAATGTCAAAAGACAGCCTGTATTCCCAACTGCCCATGGATTTCTTCACCATGCCGTCATATGCAAGGCGAATATCCACAGCAACACCCTACATGAATGGGGAAACAGCCACCAAGAATCTGTGGACTATCAACGGAACGCTAAGGATTAAGATACTGTGCGCCACTTATGTCAATGTCAACATCAGAGACATTGACAAGGTACAACTGCAGTACATTGTTGTCATCTTGTTTTTCTTTAAAGCCCATCTGGCTTGTTTCTCATTTGAGTAAAATTCATTCTGACTGTAATATTCCATCTCAGTAGCTTGGAGATTATTAAAAGATGTTGCACAGCGTCTCGCCGTCTTTCTCAGTCAGAAATGTGCCGACAGAAATCGTTATCGCTTAGATTACTTTATAAATCTTTTGATTTGTTGCTGATCTAGATCTACGTCAGGACTGGGATATACCATGGTGGAGAGCAGCTGTGCGACAATGTCAACACACTACGTGTGCCGTGCTCAAACCCCAGGTTGTGCATAATCAAAGTGTTTCATACTCTAAGATTTTACTGAGCTTTGTGGCACTAATGTGACTGATTCATATCTGTGGTTATGTTCCTGTTTGTGGCAGGTGGAACGAGTGGCTGACTTACGACATGTACATTCCAGAAGTCCCCCGAGCTGCCCGACTCTGCCTCTCCATTTGCTCTGTCAAAGGAAGGAAGGGAGCTAAAGAGGTTAGCACTGAAATGTCAACATTTTATATTAAAATCTTCAAGGTATTGTCGTAAAATTCGCATATTTTCTTTTTAAAAAAATCCCTAAATTGAATCAGTCACGGCACAGTAAGTGAAGTTGGCCCTTATAATGGTCCTGTAGCCAAAGATGGTTGTTGACAGTAAGGCATTGTTAGAAATTAAAGATGTCAATCTTTCATCAACTGCTTCTAGGACCTGTGTTCGTCAGTCAGCCAACTGGAATGCAACTACAACTCATGCCCCGATCTACTCGACACGGGCACTTGTTAAAAAACACAAACCGAATTGATGGAAGTAAAATGTGCCAAACAAAATGTTTGGCATGCCAACCAAGAAAAAAATGTAGCTGATCTTTTAATATGACATGCTCTTTAACTATGATCGTGTCTGTGCCAAGGAGGGTGTAGCAGAGAAAGAAATAGCGTCGATGTTGCGTTGGTGTGTCATAGCCTGTGATTCAGTAGGCATTGTCAATCACGCAACCTCATGCATCGAACTCGACTGGTTTATTCTATCTGTGTCTCATCGTGGGATTTACAAGGGTTGAAAAACAGCCTCAAAAATGGTCTTTGCTTCTCTTGAATCAAACCTTTAATATGGAGAGTGAATAACAGCCTAATATAAACCAATCAGTGCCACAGATGTTATCGAAACTGTTCTCAAAATTATTCTCTGCACCTCCGAGTGAATTTGGTGCAACAGAAATGAAGCACATTAATCTTAGCTATTGTACTTTTCTTGTACCATCTCATTAGCCACAGAGTGGTTCTTTTGTTTTGTTTTCCCCCTCCGGGGTGAAAGAGGCTACGATTTAACACCTTGTTGATTTTGGCCAACAAGTGTGTTTTAATATTACAGCAAGCACTCGTGGAGAAATTATTCTGTCAGAAATGTATCAGAAGCGCAAGTGGTGTATCTGCCCGACAGCCAAACAAACTAGCATGGTTTTAATTAAGAAGTCAATCAGTAATTGGCCCTTTTCCCAGCAGACCAGCAGCAGATGCGATTAAGTTTCATGGTGCGCGTGGTGTAAATGGATTTCCATACAGGAGCAGGGCAGGAGTTGGAGCTGTGCAGTCTGCCTGCTGCAGCTCTTTTTTTCTCTTCTTGTGGTTTTTTGTTAAAAACCATGTTTCTATTAACAGTTATGATAATAATAATAATAATAATGGATTGGATTTATATAGCGCTTTTCAAGGCACCCAAAGCACTTTACAATGCCACTATTCATTCATTCACTCTCACATTCACACACTGGTGGAGGCAGCTACGGTTGTAGCCACAGCTGCCCTGGGGCAGACTGACAGAAGCGAGGCTGCCATATCGAGCCATCGGCCCCTCTGGCCAACACCAGTAGGCGGTAGGTAAAGTGTCTTGCCCAAGGACACAACGACCAGGACAGAGAGCCTGGGGATCGAACCGGTGACCTTCCAGTTACAGATACGCTTCCCAACCCCCTGAGCCACGGTCGCCAAATGATCAGCCAAACCAATGATGCACATGTACTTTGGACATTTTATTATCGTCTTACCTGTTCTTACTTTATTATCACCAACTTCCCTGTTTGTTTTTATTCCACTGCACCTGTCTGCTCCGTATCCACCAGCTGTTGCCTTGCTGATGATTTTCACATGGATCCTTTTTACTTGTTTCCTGTAGGAACACTGTCCCCTCGCCTGGGGCAACATTAACCTGTTCGACTACACCCACACACTAGTAGCAGGGAAGATGGCTCTCAACCTGTGGCCTGTCCCACATGGCCTGGAAGACCTGCTCAACCCTATCGGTGTCACGGGCTCCAACCCTAACAAGGCAAGTGGCAAAACGTTCTTTGCTGTTTGCACTTCCAGTATTTCTCTGTTCTGTGTATACAAACATGTTGATAATAGTAGCATTGTGTCTTTAATTTGCATAAACCCGAATGGATCAGGATGCAGTTTATAAACACTTGAGTTTTTTCCAGCATCTGAAGCTTTTCACATACACGCATTATGCATAATAATAACTTTTAAGCCTCGTGACCCAGTTATAGCAAAGCTGGCGACACCTTGTACAGTTTCAGTAATGCAGCAGCTGCTGCTTAAGCTGCTCGATTCAAGCAACCAGGCTCCTTATCCCAATTAATTAATTACTCATTGACACCGGCGCCTTAATTTGATTACAATAAACACCTTGAATGACCTTTTCCCCTCTTTACCGTTTTCTAAACATACAGGAAACCCCATGTCTGGAGCTGGAGTTTGACCATTACAGCTCCCCTGTCAAGTTTCCTGATATGTCTACCATTGAGGATCATGCAAACTGGAACATATCCAGAGAGCTTGGCTTTAATTACTGCCACACTGGTTTGGTAAGAGTAAACACGTGTTTGTTGGTTTCTGTTTTGCTTTGCTGGTCAGATACATGAACACATTATCCGACGTGATTTTCATTGAAGAGCTGCCACGTCATAGTTCATGTGCACTCCACACAGAAAGTATGGGGGCCTATAAGGTTTATCTTTCTGTTAAATATATACACAGTTAGACATGGGCGTTTCTAATAATAAGATCATTTTCTTCGCCTCTTGGCTCTGTGATGTGATTGACAGTGGATATCCCTAATAATGTTATCTTAGGCAGTGGTCTCCAACCTTTTTTGCGCCATGGACCGGTTTATGCCCGACAATATTTTCACGGACCGGCCTTTAATGTATCGCGGATAAATACAACAAAATAAAACTAGTACCGGTACCGAAAAAAAACCAAGATTTATTCATAACACACGTGAAAAGACCCAGGAAAACCGAGTTAACGATCAAAACGATAACAAAATAACGCTGAAAACTGATAAAAACCCTGAAAACCATACATTTCACACCTGAGCCTCAACTCTCGCGGCCCGGTACCAAACGACTCACGGACCGGTACCGGTCCGAGGCCCGGGGGTTGGGGACCGCTGATCTTAGGGACACAGTCAGGTGCAGCCAATCAGAAGAAAGGTTTTCCTTAAAGGGAGAGGAGCTGAAACGGCTCGTTTTAGACAGAGGATGAACCAATGGGCCTCACCAAGGCTCAGTACAAGATAGACTTTGACTATTTTGAACTGTGAATCATGCAGAGTCACTATAGTAAATGTGACTGAAAATGTGGAGCTGGAAATGAGAAGAATCATCCCGCTGTTATATGACAAGTGGCTCTAGACCCGACTCTGACCTCCTTGGTTTGTTTTGCTAAACCGTGTTATTTTGGTGTCATAGAGTAACAGACTGGCACGGGACAACCCCCTGACTGACGGCGACAATGAGCAGCTACGGCAAGTGTGTAACAGAGACCCACTTTCTGAAATCACTGAGCAGGAGAAGGACTTCCTGTGGAGACACAGGTAATGATGTGTGCTGGTATGCTTTTATAAAGGGCTTTTGAGCTAGTACCCACTCGGGTCGACTCGTCTTTACTCTGCTTCAGTCTTTTTCCATTACAATTGAATAGCACCTAATGTGCGTGAGGTCAATGAGGCCGACATCATTTGTATGCAACACAAATGGAACACAACAATGGAGGATGTAGAGGAGAGGGTGCACCTGTAGCTTAGTGTATGGCTTTTTCTCAGACTCGGGGAGCATGATTTTGTTTTTTGTGTAGCCGTTGCCGGCTCTCACAACGCCGCTGTCCAGCCTAATCAGTGGCATGCAGCTTGTTGATGTCACATTTTCAGATTGACTCAGTTCGCTTGGATCCCTGGAAGAGTAGGCAATAAAATACACCACCAGTACCACCTAATGGAAAACCCTAATGACTAAATAAGCAGTAGGACGAGTAGGTACTAGTGGAAGAGTTAGCACCTGGTTATCAGAGCTGCTAGATGTGTACACAGAAGTCTTTAATGCTGATGGTGGAAAAAGTTATAACTTATTTGTTTTGTCACCAATTTTATTTTAGACATGACTGCATCAATATGCCAGAGATCCTTCCCAAGATCCTCCTGGCTGTGAAGTGGAACTCCAGAGATGAGGTTGCACAGGTGAGTG